ACTTGTATTTCCTGAGTGTAAGAATTCTGATTACCTGGCCTGGGCAGCACAACAGAGCTAATCACGTTGGCGGAGGTACAGGTGAGCCAGCCCGGAAGTTGTGAGCATGGGAGAGCTGTCCCCATTACTCATCTGTCATGTGACAGCATGGGTGGAGGAGAGATGCCCCTTCCCCCATCAACGCATAGACAGGTGGGAGAGCTGGCCCTGAGGTCAGAGGGCGGGAGAGCTGCCCCTGCCCACTGCCAGCGCCAGCATTCGGGAGAGCAGGCCCTGCCCCTCTCGTGGGCAGCACAATAGCACCAGCCCCACTGGCAGAGGTATGGACGAGCCAGTCCCGATACTGTGAGCATGGAAGAGCTGTCCCCATACTTACCTGTCACCGGGCAGTATGGGCAGGAGAGAGATACACACCCCAAAATGCCTGAGGCGGGTGGGAGAGCCGGCCCTGAGGTCAGAAGAGCTGAAGAACTAGCCCTGCCTCTCATCAGCTGCAGCACTAGAGTGGCCCTTACACCTCCACTGGGCAACACAGTGGAGCTGGTCCTGAAGGTGTAGATGTGGGAGCTGACCCTGAAGACAGGAAAGTAGAACTTGCTCTGGCCCTTGCACATCACTGCAAGGAGTGATTTCGCCAAGGCAACGCAGGCGAACTCACCCTGGTGGTGAGGATAAAGGAGAGCTGGCAAGCTGACCAACCCTGCAACTACCCAGAACCAGGGTTATGAGTTGGCCCACCACAACATCCACTCCATCTGCGATCTGCTAGAGCAGGTGAAGGGATTGGACCTGCAGACTCAAAGCGGCAGGATCTCCACAACACAAGGCAACAACAGGATAACCAAGAGGAGTTCCAGTGAGGGCCCAGCATCCATAGTGTAGTCCCCAACCAGACCAATGACTCTCTGTAATGAACATTTGCAAGTAAAGATACATGAACAAAAGGGGTTACTGCATGACTCACGGTGTCACACTGCAGCTTCCAGGACGGGACTGACTTTACCTTCTCTTTTTTTCTCTTAAATTTTATTTTATTTTATTTAGGGTACAGAGGTTGCAAGGGCAGAGGGTCGATACAAAGGGATGAGGAAATGAATGGGATAGAGGTATATGATATGAAAGACACAAAGAATAAATAAAAAGGAAAAAAAGAATTCTGATTAATATAATCATAGCTAAGTGGTTAAGGCAATGAACTAGAAATCCATCTCCCAGCACAGGAATGAACTTGCCAACTAAGGATTGAGTGTTGTGGCTCAAACATATAATCTCAACACTCAGGAGGTGAAGGCAAGAGGATTACAAGTTCAAGGTCATCCTCAAGTACATCTAAAGCAAGTTCAAAGCCAGCCTGGGCTACCAAAAAAAGAAAGAAAATAGGGAAGGAGGAGAGAAGAAGGAAGGGGAAGGGAAGGAGGGCTGAAAATTGTGTTTAATGCACTAAAATCTCAATGCATTAAGATAAAGCACTCACTGGTTCTAAGGGAAATTCTTGCCAGAATTTTGTTTCTTTGGTTTTGGGGTTGTCTTTTTGTGGGAGATGAGGGGGTCAGACAGGGTCTCACTATGTAGCTCTAGCTGTCCTTGAAATCAGAGACCCCTCCCCACCTCTGCTTCCGAAGTGCTGGGAATTTTATTCACCCATGTCCATTAAACTTCTCACTCTCTATCCTTATGCCCAAACTCAGTCAACTGGAATGAACCTGGAGGGTTCAGAAGTTACAGAAGTTACCTGAGAGGGTGGCCAGGATTCGCTCAGCTGTCCCTCGAAGGGTCTCCCCAGGCTGCCACTCTACTTGAGGGAGCATCCAAAAATCCTGGTCCCCAAGCTTCTCTCTGACTAAGAGGACCAGGTTCCTGTCTAGCTTACGATGCAAGGAGGTTCGGTCATTCTTTTTATCAGCTTCTACAAGAGGGAGGATTAGAAGAGAGAGAAAAAATAAAAAAGACCGTGATCCACCAAAACCGAGGATTTCGAGTTTTAGAGCCTTCCTTTGGGGACAACCTCAAGCCCTGTCCTCTAAGAACTTACAGCCAAAGCATAATCCTAACTTAAACTGACAGGTGAGAATTGGAACCAGAGCTGAACTTCTCAAGTACACTTGAAGCCTTTGGAAAAGAAGCGATGCCTGTAACAATTCAAACATAAGAACTGGAGTGCAGCTCGGAGGCAGTGCACTTCCCTTGCAAGCACAAGGCTCTGGGTTCAGTCCTCAGCAACACACACACACACACACACACACACACACACACACACACACACACAGTTCAAGGAAAAAAACAAAACAAAACAAACAAAAAACCCTGCCCCATTGGATTTAACACTATTGCTGAGTCTAACTAACTCCTACTCTCTCTGTTCTTTAGTCATCATCCTTGAAACAAGGGCAATTTAGAGGTAAAACTCAAAGAGTAACTGCGAGCTCTAACAGAAAGAGAAAGACATCTACTCCCCCTGAAAATAACTTAAGTCTTTGAAAAATGGTGTTAGGGAGATATAAGGAATAGGGGGGAAATGTTATTTTCCTGAAAACTGTTTAAGTGTTACTGAAATACAAAGAAGGAGTGAGGCAATTGTCCTTCGTTTGGAAATCAGAATAGCCCCCTTTCCCTTCCTTGTGGCTGGCCTAGGAGGCCACACACCTGTTACTCGAGCTCCAGGTTTGAACTGGAGGAACGCCTGCTCCCACATATCTTCTAAGTCTTGTGCAAGTGTGATGCCCTGCTCATCTTGGTCATCATCGTAAAGGTCGGCTTTCTTCTTTGCCAGTCGCTTAGCTTCATCCAGAGCACGAAGCTCGTGGTCTGAATACAGGCTTCTCTCTGTCTCCACCTGGAGAATTTAAAAGGAAGAGAAGGAAAGAAAAAAGCTACCACATCCTTGATAGGCTTGGGAGCACATCACATAATACACTCAGAAATATAATCAAAACGCTGTACATATGTAAAGAAGAAAAAGGGCCACTGGGCTGTAAGCTTGAGTGAAATTTGCCAAAATGTCAGAATGTGATTAGAGATCAAGACTGCCAGGAAGAACAGAGGGGTGGCATGGCACAGTGGACCCCTTCCTACACTCTAGGTCTATTGGTCTCTGATCAGCATCTCTTCAAGCACTTTCCTGCCTTAAGACATTGCAACATCCCTTCTTCCTAAAATATCTCCCCTCACACTATTTCTCCCAGATTTCTACTCATCCTTCTGATTTCAACTTAAATACCACTTTCTCCGGAAGTCATCCTGGATACTTCTCATGAAAATCAAACCTATGTGGTTCTTCGTAAAACTCTAGTACTCTGTGTTTTGTTTACCAAAGTCTGTAATTAGTCATATGAGTGGTTACTGACTGCACCCCTAATTCCAGTACAGGAAACTCTCTGGGAACCAGAGCTATGTGCCTATCTTATCCACAACTGCGTATCTATCACTTTGCACAGTGATACACAGTATGAGCTATGAATACCTGTAAGGTGAGAAAAAAAAAAGATGAATAAATTGAGCAAAAAGCACCGAAAAAGAGTTTACATTAGTATTCCCAAGACAAAAGTCCCTCGGAGTCCAGGGACAGGTAAGCTCTTTCATCACTATCTACAGAGACTTAACACCCTGACAGCAACTACACTTGGGGTTTTGCCCACATTTCCTCACTTGCCCTTCACAGACATTGCTCCCCGAGGTAAAAAACAAAGCCAACTTTACCACGTGCATCTTAAGGATGTGCCCACTGCCTCCAAGGCTTTCTTCCTATAACACACCACATCACAAAGACTTTCCTGTACTCTGTCAGCTCCTAAATTACAGGAAGTGAGCGATTCCTGTTCACCACCGGATCCCTACTGTGTTGAATGTACAAGAAGGAAACTATCCACACAGAGTGCCCAAGCGAAAACGAGTCGATTCAGTTAAACTTGGTTGAAGACCCGCTATATACTAACCCAACTCATCAAGGTAACTTCCAACCTGCAGATGTCACTAAGGATCGAGAGGTGCAATGATTTGCTCAAGGTCACCCGGAGCACCAGAGTCACCACGGAATCAAGGCCCACTTGGTCCTGCTGCTTCCCTCCACCGCACCCCGAAGCCCGCGCCTGCCTCACCTTCTGTAGTAGTTCCGCCATCTCTTTCTGCAATGGGGTGAGCGGCTTGGTGATCAGCGGCGGCCGCTGCAGACACAAAGCGCCCAACAAGCGCCATGGAGACCGGCTTCCCGAGGGCGCAGCCTCAAGGGACAGGCCTCGAAAAGGCGGGCTCCCTGCCCAGAGACTGTCGAGACGCCGCCAGCCCCTAGCCACACCGAACAGAGTACGCCCCATGGGCGCCGCCATCTTCCTGCCTTCCCACAAGGAACTGCGGCTCCCGGCGGGGCCCTCAGCCAACCCCAAGTTCCCAGGAGGCAACGCGGGCCGGTGAAGGGGCGGGACTACCTTTTAGAACGAACCATTGCAACTGGGAGAGGGAGGTGCATTCTCGTGTTAGGCCGTTAGACAGGGGGAGAGTCCCGTGTGGATGATTTTATAGAGCGTTTAAACTTGAACAAAAATACTCAAAGTACCATTTGAGAGCAGTCGGGTGACTCCCCTTCTGTGTGCTCCCCCACAGGGGCTCATGGTGCTGACTCCAGCGAGGCCGGGCGCCGCGGACGGGAGCTGACGAGAGTCAATTTCAGTCATGCAGGTTGTAAGGAACACCGGATCGTGGCTCCTGCGGTCTTGGGCTGGACCTGGGATGACCAGGTAAGAGTTGTCCTTTCGAGCCCCACGGCCCCTCCTCTCGAGCCTGCCCGCCTGCCTCCCAGTGCTATGTGGCCCCCCTTGAGCCCCCAAAGGACCGTTAAGCCAGTCCCTCACCGAGCTCTCCTTTGCAGGCTTGTGGCCGTTGCCCCAGCTCAGACTATCCACACCGGAGCCCCGAGGTTAGAAGACCAGGCTGCCCAGCAGAAGATTCAGAGGGAAGCGGCTCCGAGCCCCTTCAGGTGAGGGCGGAGTGGGTCCAGGACTCTGGAAACTTGGATCCTGTGACTTCTGCCCGTGACCCTCCAGAATCAGAAAAAGTCAATGTCTTGTCTTTTGCCGTCTGTGGGAGTTCATGCAAACCAGTCTTGGAGCCTCCGCGCTCTCAAAGTGAAGATAATGCTTCGAGGGGTTGTTGATGAAGATAGAGGAACGAACCGTGCATAAAGTAGCTGTGGAGTTAGCAGCTGTTGGCCGAGCGTCCTGCATACAAGTACCAGTTTTCTTTCCTTGTGAGATAGGCTTTAATTCCGACTCGCAACTTTCTCTTCCACCAACACAATATGACTTGAGGAACTACTCCAGCTGAATTTCTTAGAGTTGGTCAGAGGTCCAGCATTAGTTTTGTGCCTAGCCCTGGGAAGTGGCATTCTGCGTCCCACTAATATAATTACTTCATATGCAGGCTGTATATACGTTCACTTACTTCACATCTATTTAACAGTTACTGAAAACCTACTACTACCTCTTGAGTACCATGATAAGTACTGGAAATGCAAAAGGTTTATTCCTCCCCTGAAATAGTTCACAGACTCTCAAGGAAGACATAGATGCAGATGTTTTAACCATAATCTGATCAGAATCATAGAGGTAAGAACTGGTTGGACATTTAGAAGAGTAAGGCATTCCTGAGGAAACCAGGCAAGACTTAAGGTAGCCTGGAGCGCAGCAGTGAACTGAATAGGAATTCAGCTGGGCAAGATCAGAGGCATCGTGACAGGCAAAGGCAACAGTCTGGAAAGGCAGGCTGTCCGAAAGAACATGGTGTGTGATGCCTCTAGAGGCCTATGAATGGTGGAGGGTTTCCCTGTCATCCTGGAGTTTTTACACTTTACCTGATACAGACAGTGAGGAGCTGCTGATGGAATTTAATCCAGGACTGTTGGAGTCATTCATTTGGCAATCCCAGGCACTATTGGGATTGTTAGAATTACATCCCTGTTCCAACAGAAAAGACCCTATCCAGCAAGCAGGCAACCAAGCCTAGCCATATCTCTCCAGCTTTGGCAAGAGTTGATACCATTTTATTTATTTGTTTGTTTGTTTTAGGATGGCCTTGCTGTGCAGCCCAGGTTAGCCTCAGATTCATAATCCTCTTAGCTTGGCCTTATGAGTGCCTGGATTACAAGAGTATACCCCAGCCCCAGCAATCTTGCTTACTCTTTAAAGCATCTTTGCCCACTGTGTTGATGTTAAGCTGTAGGAAGCAAGGCTGGAAGCTGAGAGGAGACTTGAAAGCAGTTATAAAGCAATAAAAATAGTCTAGGTAAAAGTGATGGTGTCTGGGACAGGGTGGTATTTGATCCCTTTTGCCGGTATAGCCGTTGGTTTGGGTTTTGAGACAAGGTCTCGCAGTGTAGCCTAGGCTGGCCTGGAATGTGCAGCCGTCCTCCTGCCTCAGTCTCCTGGGTGCTTGGGATTACAGGCATTCGCCAACGCCCAGCTAAGGATCTGTTAATAAAAAATGTAAGAAAAGGAGAGGTGTGAAGGCTCAAATTTGGGCACTAACCAACTGAAAATATGAAATTGTTATACTAACAGACTGATGGAGCTTAGATCGGTGTGGTTAAGTTTGAGATGCCTTATACTTGCTTTGTGCAAGTATATAATAATGCAAGTATATATATATAATAATAATGGCCTTGTGCAACTGTATATAATAAAAGAAAAAAATCTGAGACTCCTAGCATGGGAGTTGAGATGTAATAGAGACAGAGATTTGGGGACAGGAAGACCCAGCGAAAGAGAGAACCTCCCCAAGACAGGTAGCAGGGAAGCCAGATGAGATTTTCTGCTTAGTGTGGTATAAAGTAGGGAATGCAGCTGTGTTCGGCACTGCAGAAAAGATGGGTTGACTGGCAGAGAGCATGATTGCTCACTGGACTTAACCATATGGAGTGGGTTGATGACCTTGACACAGCCTTTCTGATGGAGAGGTCGGAAATAACTTCTAATTGGAGTGGGTTGGTTTCAAAGAGAATAAATAAACAAGTATTGTCATTCCTTTAAGGAGGCTTTGCTGTAAGGGAGAATGGAGAAGCTCTTGAGAACTTGGGGTTTAAAAGGTGGGGGGTTAGTCTTTGTTCTTCTTGTTTAGATTTTATGTGTATGACGTGACAGTATGTCTTGCTTCCTGGAACCAGGGGGAGACTGATCCTGAAGAGGGAGCATTGCAGGAAGTGTCCTTGTGGGACTAATAGGCAACTGGAACATTGTGAGAGGAGAGTCCTCGAAGGCCCTGGGCACAGATGTTTGGTGGTGGAAGCTGGCAGAAAGTCTAATTGATTCTATTTCTCTGTAGAGGTCATCAGCTGGCCCCAAGGAAACAGGAAGGGGTTGGATGTTTAAAGAGACAAAAGGAAACGGAGAAGAGGCATCCTGGAGAATGGAAGGATAATTGAACTGAGAAGGGTTGTCAGGCATCTTGAGAGCTTGCTTGATGCTGGAAGGTCATTAAAACTAATCAGTGGTTCTTGGTAGGGACTTTCAGCCGTGTCTAAAAACCTCTGGTGGTCATAAATTAGGAGACAGAACCTGATTAATTAAAGCCAGGGATGCTACCAAGCACCCTACTGTTCACAGGACACTGCTACAGCAGTGACTTATCCCAAAGGTCGGTCGAAAGCCCTGGAATGGAGACCAGACAGCCATGCAGTGCTTACACAGACTCAGATTGTCTGGAGAGATGGATTTAACAAGAGCTGGGGTTTTGCCAGGAGAAAGTGATTAAGAAAGAAGGGAATTGAGACTAGGCTTTCATCCAGGTGGGGAAAGAAGTGGTTGGTACCTGAGGTATGGAGTGGTGGAGATCTGATGGGCTCATCAGGGTGCTGGCCCTGAAGATACTGAGGCTGACAAGCGGGTGGTAGCCAGGGATGCTTGAAGCCAAGGTTATGGTGCATGTGCTGGCAATGATAATGGCTGGCTGTGACCCCACGACGTTCATAGCCAGGGTAGGACAGAAGGCAGATGGTGATGGAAGGAGGCAGGTTTAGAAATGGAAGTGCAGAACTTGTGGAGATCTTGCCGAAATCAACAGTTACAGAGAAGTAGTGCCAGAGGACACTGAGACCTGGCTATGGTTTTTGCAGTTTATTTCCATTTTTAAATAATTCTTTGAAATTAAAATACAGTCACATTGTCATCCTGTTGTCCATCCGTCCCGTCCCCCCTGTCCCGTCCCCCCCCCCATTTCCTCCTTCTAATCCCTCCCTTATATCCCCATTTTCTCTCTCAAATTTATGGCCTCTTTTTTTTTTTTTTTTTTAATTGTTGGGGGAGGTGTATTCCTAACTCATAAATAGAACCTGATCAGTCAGTATAATGTTAAGTGTATGTATATGACTTCAGCGCTGACCACGTCATAATGGATCACCAATCTGGTTGCTCTATTTCTCCCACTCTTAGCATTCTTAAGTTGCCTGCATTTGCATTTTTAAAGATTATGCAATTAAGCCAGGCATGGTGGAGCACACCTTTGATCCAAGTACAGTGCAGGCAGAGGCAGGCAGATCCCTGTGGTTGAGGACAGCCTGGTCTACGTAGTGAGCCAGGCTAGCCAGAGCTATGTACCTGGCATCCCCACTTCATAAATGAACTACCTCACCACACCTCCCTGGTCTGAAAGTGGGGAGAAAGACTAGTTCCAGAAAGCTCTGTCTCTGCATTGTAGGGCCATCCTCAGATGAGCCATTGCTCATTATGCCTTCAGCCTGGGAGAATCTTGTTTTGTTTTGTTTTGTTTTGAGACTGACTCTTGCTGTGGAGCCCAGGATGACCAGGAACCCTGTCATCATCATAAGCTGCTCTTAAACTCATGGTGACCCTCCTGGCTAGGATTACAGGCATGCACTACCATGTCCAACTGAAACTGGGAAGTTTAGAGGCCTGATCTTGGCCATGCCCTAGATTAAATGACTCTGAGCTCCGGGTTTCAAAATCTTGCTATATGAAAGGGATGATTGTATCGGTTTTACTCAGATTTGCATTTGCTCACTCCCAAGTCAACATAGGGAACAAAAAAACAAAACAAAACAAAAGTCAGTGGGGAAATGATGATCATTGAAACAGTAATGTCATCTACAGGACTGGGATACTTTTCTTCTTAGTACAGAAACTGATAGGCCAGCCACCTACAGAGGCTGTGCGTCATCACTAAAATCAGGCCCACAGGAGGGAATGCACTCACTGTGCTGAGCTTTTGAAAATATCCCTAGAGAAGCAGATGGGCCCGGGCGGTGCTTGAATGGTAGCGTATTTTCTAAAACGGATTTCAGCATAGTAGAAACATAGCGTGGGAGTGTGGGCACAAATCTGAGTCTGATTTAGGTGTGTGGGCACAATGAAACAGCAGGTTTACTCCCTCTGAAATGCTGAATGACAGTTACATGCGTGTTTAAGTTTTTAAAGAACAAAGCTCGGATCCAAGACCAGTCTCCCCAGTCCAAAGCCTAGCCTCCTTGCTGGCTCTATGCTTGTATGGACTTGAGTTTCCCACCTGAAGATGAAGACTATGTATGGCCGCAGGGAAATCCCACAAGCAAATCAGACTAGGGTAAAAGAGCCTAGCACGTGTGAGCCCAGCACGGTGTCGAGGCCAGTGTTCCCAGCCCTGAAACACTGCAGTGTCCAGAAGGTGTGGGAAGGAACGGTGCAGAGAGCCTCCTCCAGAGCCAGAGACTCTAAGTTTTCGTTCTGGTTTATCTTAGTTAGGGTTTTTACTGAAGAGACACCATGACCACGGCAACTCTTACAAAGGAAACATTTCCCTGAGGTGGCGGCTTACAGTGTCAGAGGTTCAGTCCATTATCCTCATGGTGGGGAGGAAGAGCTGAGAGTCCTACATCTTGCAGGCAACAGGAAGTCGACTGAGAACACTGGGCGGTATCCCGAGCATAGGAAACCTCAAAGCCCACCCCCACAGTGACCCAGGTCCTCCAACAAGGTCACGCTCATTCCAACAAAGCCACACCTCCTAATAGTGCCACTCCCTACGAGATTATGGGGGCCAATTACGTTCAAACTACCACGGAGTTTGTGTTGTTTGATTTGGTGTATGGGGTGAGTGAGTGAGAAGTTTGGGGCCTTTGGGGCTTGCGGAGGGGGTGTTGCAGGGACTGTCTTACAGTATATCCTAAGCTGTGTGTATCCCAGGTTGGCCTCGGGTTCGGTTTGCCCTCCCCGCCCTCCCCACCCTCCCTCTTTGCACACTTCCCCCACCACCACCTCCCCATGCTCGGGTCACAAGTGTGCATCACTATACTCAACCTGTTTTGTTCTGTTTTTAAGCATGTATGTATTTCTTTTGATTTAAAGAACAATTGGAAAATTAAAGCAAATGTCTCTTCTGATTGCAGCATTTACCCTCCAGCTCCAGGACAGGAAAGCTCTCTGCGGTGGGCAGGGATGAAATTTGAGGAGGTCCCAGTTGCACACATTAAAGCAACCCACAACAAGTAAGAAAGGGGGAGCCTGAGGGAGTCCCCTGTGAGCTGCCGTAGCCTTAACACTTCTTGGAGTAGAAGTCAGGGTGCCAGATGCTAGTATAGGGAAACCACTTTCTTTCTTTCTTTATGACGTGTACTTAACTTTCATAAAAATATTAAATCGATTTAGTACATTGTAATTTTAAGATTTTTTTCTGCCTTCTTGGGATTCCTATGCATGAGTTAGAAGGACTGTATTAAAGGGAACGGTCCTGTTGTGAGAGAAGCGATATACAAATACATAATTTATTAGTAAACCAGCCCGAATATGAACTCCAGACAAGTGCGAGCCCTTTAGCCTTCTTACCTGAGTTCCCGTGCACTGGCCCTTCCCTCGCAGGACTAAGTGTCATGGTGAAGGAAAGCAAGAAGACGAGAGCCCTTGTGTGCCGTACACGGGTGCCGAGCAGGCTCCCGGCTACACGAGCATCGGGCGTGGGTGACAGCTTCGCTGGCCAAGTCCACTTGGAAGTGTGACCTGTGTGTGGTCTCAGCCTGCCTGCCACACAGCTGGAGTACAGCACCAGAGACTATAGTCCTGGCCTAGAGTGTGTGGCACAGAGGTGCCACAGCAGTGTCCCTCTCTCCTCTTGAGCTAATGTGCAGACATAACTTCTATGCTTCCTTTTGGTTGATGTGTCTGTGACTTTTTCTTTTTCTTTTTCTTTTTTTTTTTTTTTTTTTGGTTTTTTGTTTGTTTGTTTGTTTGTTTGTTTTTTCAAGACAGGGTTTCTCCGTGTAGTTTTTGGTGCCTGTTCTGGATCTAACGCTGTAGACCAGGCTGGCCTCAAACTCACAGAGATCTTCCTGGCTCTGCCTCCCAAGTGCTGGGATTAAAGGCGTGCGCCACCACCGCCCGGCTTCTGTGGCCTTTTCAATCACCCTGCGTCAGAGTGTTTCTGTCCAGTGTAGGAATGTGAGAAGCCCTTGGAGAGGGTGACAACCATAACGAGGCCACAGCAGGTGTCAGGGCTGACCCTGCAGGTCTCCTGCACAGCATCCCCTTCACTTCCCCTTCCCATGAGCACCCAGAAAGCTTTGCAGAAAGTGGGGTAATGGGGTGATAATAACCAAAAGGAAGATAGAAAGCACACCTTAGGATTTTCCTAAAGTCATTCTTAATTTACCCTTATAGAGCAAATTAGAAAAAAAAAGTTTCACTTACTTAAAATAATTTTTGATCCCAGCATAGAGTGTCATAGCATTTAAATTATCCACTATAGTGATGTTGTCATGACAGATGTTTTGTGGGATTTTGTATGTGTCCTCCTTTTAGAGATAGACACTGCAATGGTAGATCTTAGATTCCCTTCAGAACAGTCTGCTGATGGGGAGATGGAAACAGCGTTTATTTGGTTAAATTTGGTTATTGCTGGAGCAGAGTGAGGCGACAGGTCTGGGCGTTTATTCATATACTCGTTTTTTATTACTTTATTATAGTTTTGCTTCCTTGTTGGGGGTGAAGCGTAATCATGCGGAGGTCAGAGAACAGTTTGCACAAATTAGTTCTCTCCTTCCACCATGTGGGTGCATCTGTAACCTTTAAGCCGTCCCTCACATACCGCTCTGTTCATTGTTATTATGGAGGATACTTGGAACTTTCCATTGTTCTCTTAACAGCTGCCCAGTGTGAAACAGCTAGGTTTTTATAAAACACCAGACAGGGATATCAACCTCCAACATAACCACTGCCTCGGGGAAGGCTGGAGGCAGAAGCGTGTCCTTCCATGTGTGATCTGTCAGCCTTCCTTGAACACAGGGGAGGGGCTAGCGACCTTTCTTATTCGGGCTGCTCAGGACTGTAGCAAGCTCCCTTCCTTCCCTGAGCGGGACTAGAGCTATATGCCTCTTTTTCCAAGCACACAGATCCAGGTGGTGTCTGCCACTAACGTGCCCCTGGCCCGTACCTCCTGTGGCACAGAAGGCTTTCGAAATGCCAAGAAGGGCACGGGCATCGCAGCCCAGACGGCAGGCATTGCCGCGGCAGCGGTAAGTACCTGCCCACGTTGTCGTGCCTTCCCTGTGGCTGACGGTGGCCAGCGCCCAGCGCTCCCTGCACAGCAGATCAGAAGCGGGGAGGTCTTTGCCTGCCCCGTTAGATGTCCTGGTACTGCAGTTGCTTGAAGCCTGTGTAGAAAAGGAGGAAGCAGAGTCCTGAAGACTTAGGAATGAAAGCTCCTTCCATTAAAGACAGGAGGGACAGTGTGGGGGTTGTATTTTATTCATGTCCCACAGCACAGGTCCCGAAGTGACTTTTTAGAGGCAAACTAATCAGCGTCATTTCAGATAGTTCCTTATTACCGTGTCTTCAGAAGCCCCTGCTCATCTACTCTTCAAGAGAACCAGATTGTGTGAGATTGGTCAAAGCCAAGCAGCCAGTTAGCTCCCTGATGTGAACCCAGATTGGCCTTGGACCAGAGCTGCATGTTTCCTGCTATAGCAGCGACCTCACAAATGTGTGTGCTCTGACAAACAGGAATGCTTCCTGAAGAAACACCTTGACCTTTACAGCGAGACTTAGAAAAACTATTGATTGCTATGTAGTAATGATCATCAAAACTCAGAACGATGTAATTGCCCACCAGACAGAGGACATTTGATTAAGAGAGATGTGTCAGTGTTGTGGGACCTCTGCATGGTAGGTTTTGAGTGAGTTCTGGGTATTTTCCAGGACCCATAATCAATGTGTTTATAAACTGGACACATACTTAACTCTAAAGATTCTAAATCCCACCTTAGAAGCGGGCGTTCAGGCTCAGCCTCTTGGGTCTGCGTTTGGAGGAAAATCAAGCAATATCTCGAAGTGTCCATTAGGTGGCGGTGTGGTTCTGTCACCTAAGTTCCTTAGCTGTCGGTCTGCCAGCCTCTATGGGTGTCCATGTCCACTATGGCCGTCAGCGCTTCCCTGCCTTCTCTGTCTCCTGCCTCCCCGTTTACTTCTGTTGTTGCCATTACCCCGTGTCTCCTGGAGACAGTAGCTAGAGGTTGGGGTGCAGCCATTCTGTCTCGGAGGCACTGACCACTTGTTTCTCTCCAGAAAGCCACAGGAAAGGGCGTGACCCACATCAGAGTTGTAGTGAAAGGCTTGGGACCAGGACGCTGGGTAAGTAACTAGGGTTCTCCACAGTGTGTGTGCATGTTTGTTAGAGCCAGGTGTGGAGAGTTGAAATGTCCCCGTAGTGACCGTCCCCCTCAGTTCCTTTCTGTTGTTCCTGCGATCAGCTAAGCTCCTCAGCAAGCCTAGATCGTACAGTTTATCTCAACTTCTTGAGTGCCTGCTGTGTGCCGGCCCTGGGAATGGAAAAGTGGTCTCTGGGGAACCATCACAGACAGATCCTCAGCACAGACTAGTGGGTGCAGTGGAGAAGTCTAGACCAAGGTGCTGGGGACCCTCAGGGGTATTCTGAGACCAGTGGGGCTAGAAGGTAACATCTCTCTGACTTTACAAGAACGAGGCATTGGGGGTGGGTGGGGGGGTCCTGGGAGAGGAAAAGAGCGGCTGGAGTGTGAGAGTCAAGCCTGTTCTCAGATGGTAAATCACAGGGTAGAGGCAGCCGTGGCTGGAATGTAGCTGTCAGCCCGTGAGCTTCCCTCCCTCCTGGAGCCCTATCTGAAGATGCTGGGTCCTCATCATTTTGGAGACCATACCATTCGCCTGTTTCTGACCCTTCCAGTCTGCCATCAAAGGACTGACCATGGGGGGTCTGGAAGTGATCTCGGTCACAGACAACACTCCCGTCCCTCACAATGGCTGCCGGCCCCGGAAGGCTCGAAGGCTGTGATGGGAAGGAAGCCTGCGCTGGAAAAGCTGACCTAAAGTCTCCACTCCAAGTGGATCCTGCAAAAGCCCACCGTGGGAGCTGCTGGAGCTGGCCGCTCTCCAGCCCTCCGGAGGGGAGTCTTGCTCCAGCCTGCACCTGGAGCTGCAAGTGCCCTGGAGGGTCGCCTCTCACGGACATGAGGGGGTGGGAACTAAAGTACAGCGGTGGCTGTGCTCTGACAATAAAAGACTGTTCTGTGTCATGGCTGTCAGTGTTTGTGCCCAGCGTTACAGACTTCTGAAAGACTGTGAGTGCAGTGTCACCCCGGGTGGAAGGGTTACAGTGTAAAGTGGTCTGCAGTCTACTGTGCCCCTTCTTTTCACACTGCCTGTAGAGCCTCTTAACCAAGGTGTCCAGATCTTGTCACAGCCAACAGCCGAGCCTTTGACCCAGCTGAGTGAGCTTTTTCCCATCCTCTGGAGTCTCTCAGATTCACAGGTGGAGGGCATGCTTGAAGGTAGCCCTAGGAGTGGGGTGGGTGGGGGGGTGCTCTGAAGTTCAGATTTCCTGAGAGTGTCCATCCTTTATACTCTGGACTTCAGCAGTCCCCGAATGCAAGAGGAAGTCATCTCAAAAGCAGGCTGGTGGGGTTGTGTGAAACAGGATTTGCCAGGAAGAAGTTTGGAGAGTGGGGTTCTGAGAGCTGTGCTGGTGTAGAACCTGGATGGCACAGACAGATTGGCACAGCTCAGAACCCGGGGCTGCCACTTTGCCAGTCATTCACCAGTGCCAGAGGCCAGGGCTCTGGAAACAGCAGCGCCACAGGGGAGACGCCTCTTCCTCTGCCCCTCCGCTGAGAGAGAGCGTCACAGAAACTTGAAGGAAATGCCCACAACACAGTCCCACTCCTCCAGACAGGGCTGCAGCCCAGCTGGGAAGGCCCACAGCTGCCCCTGGGTAGGCAGGAAGGACTATGTTGGAGCTGAAGGAAGGACAAGACTACCAACTTAGAGGAAATTAAGGAAAAATGTCTCCCTACTCCTTTTGATCCTTAGCAGGATGTGTGAGGAGTGTCCTGAGGTCAGTGACTTAGGAGGCTTCTTGTATTAAAGCCACTGTGGGAGGAGGGCCATCGGTTTAATACAACACTATCCAAGCTGCATTAGAGAATCCCACTATGTGTAGCTCAGGTTGGCCTTGAACCTTCTGAGCGCTTGGTTTACAGTGTCATCACGCCTGACAGTATACACACACACACACACACACACACACACATACGTGTATATGTATGTATACACACACACAGTTGCTGTGTACAAACTGCCGCTATTTTGCTATTTTCTTATTGATGACAATAAAAGTGAAGATTTCAAATAAAATAGACTTGAAAAATGAAGCTTTTGAAACCATTCTTCATGGTTTTCTGTGGTTTGGCCTTTATAAAGTGGAGAAAGGGCCTGAAGCAGCTGATTGTGGCTCAAGCAGAAACAGCAAAAATGTTTAGGAAAACAGCTGTGTGAACTTTCTCTACAGAGGACTGGGCAGGCGGGATGAGGGAGTGCTAGAAACTCGGGGGCCGGTGAGAACCCAGAGCAGCTTCCACCCTAGGCCTGAGGTAGGTCAGGTGAAGGAAGCCTGTAGCCTGATGGGATCTGAGCCAAGGAGACAGATACTTCACAGGAGTCGCCACACAGACAGGGATAAGAGGAAGTTCTCCAACAGCTTTGCTCCAAACACTGACTGGACTCCTGGTTGAACCCAACAGATAGCCAAAAGGCAGTAGTGTGGACCTAGGCAACTCAGGATAGAGGCAAAGGGGGCCATGGTGAAAAGCAAGCCAGCTATGAGTGAAGTCTACTATGTCCCACAGGTAATGGTGACTTTGAAGCCTACCAGGGCTTCGTGAGACATTGGATCAAATCAACCAAAGCCTTCTTGTCAAACCAGGCTTGAAGATCAGGCCCACAGTTCAGAAATGCAGCCCTGGCAGACCTAGCCTCGAGCTAGCCTTGTGGGGACCACTTTTTCCAAATGCTTCGCCAGGAAATAAATTGGCTTTATTGTGGCAAATTGTTGAGTAGCAAGCAACACCCTCCTCTTTTTCCTGTATCATCTCAGTCTTCTGGACTTGGCTTCTCAAAGGCTGTTGTGTACCCCTTGCAGAAACCAAGGCCTCCTCTGCGAAGGCTGGCCGGTCCAGGCAACTTTTGCTTCCTCATACTGGGCTGTTGCCACAGGCCTTTCTCACCATCAGCCCCTACCCAGAGGAGTGGTGAGCTGTGAACTTATCCTCCCATGCAGGGAAGAGGCCTAAGTTGTGTTGACATCCTCTGACCAGCAGGCCTTGGATACCTTCTATTATATAGCACTTACAGATTTCCTCCTAAAGCCAGTGCCACAGGACTGGCAATGTAAGGATTCCTTTCCTCTCCTGTATACACGGAAAGAATGAAGTCTCTCCTTTCAGCATAGAGCGTGTTCATTTCTCTCAGCCAAGATACGGTCACTGCCAAAGGAAGCCTGTTTAACAGTGTGTCCCTGGCTGCTAGAATATCACTGGCTTTCCAGAAACCATCTGCCCCGATCCTGAATGACATGCCAACTTGAAAGAAGAAACAGAGAGAAAAGTACAAGAAAATGTATACCTTTCCCCCTCCAGGCTCTCTCTCTCTCTCTTTTTTTCTTCTATTCTTTGTTAGGTTGTTGTTTTGTTGTTTTTTGTTTTGTTTTTCGGGACAGGCTTTCCTCTGTGTAGCTTTGGAGCCTCTCCTGGAACTCACTCTGTAGACCAAGCTGGCCTCGAACTCACAGAGATCCGCCTGGCTCTGCCTCCCAAGTGCTGGGATTAAAGGCGTGCGCCACCACCACCCAGCTCATTTTGCTTTTTTGAGACAGGGTCTCACCTTCCTTCCCCTCCCCTCCCCTGCAAAAAAAAAGTCCAGGCTGGCTTTGAACTTGCTGTGCAGCTGAAGACAACACTGAATTCCTAATCCTCCTGTCTCAGAAGCATCCAAGTACTGGTTACTGATAGATGCCACCAGGCCCCCCTTTTTTTGTTTACCTTTTTTTCCTAATTTGGAAAGACAGGTTGCTATTTAAAAATTTGAATATTGCAGCCCCAAGTGATGGAGTGGTGTTCTAGTGTGCTTTCTGTTCCTGTGATAAACACCATGACCCAAAGAACCTGGGAGAAAGGGATTCTTCTCTTACAGGTTACAGTCCATGAGTGAGGGAAGTCAGGGCAGGAACTCAAGCCAGGCAGGAACCTGAAGCAAGAATGCGGCTTCCTGGCTTTACCCCAAGTTCATGTTCATTTTCCTTTCTTAGACAGCCCAGGCCCACCTGCCTCAGAATGCTCTTTCCACTTTCTACTTTCTAGGCCTTCCTATATCAATCAGCAGTTGAGAGAATGCCCCCTGCAGGCATGACCACAGGCCAACTTGATGGAGGAAATGTCATCATCCAAGACTGTCAAGTTTAACAAGATTAGCCATCACGAGTGGACACCTGCCTTAGGGTTTTTATTGCTGTGAAGAGACACAATGACCACGGCAACTCTTATAAAAGAAACATTTGCCGGGCGGTGGTGGCGCACGCCTTTAATCCCAGCACTTGGGAGGCAGAGCCAGGCGGATCTCTGTGAGTTCGAGGCCAGCTTGGGCTACCAAGTGAGTCCCAGGAAAGGCGCAAAGCTACACAGAGAAACCCTGTCTCAAAAAAACCAAAAAAAAAAAAAAAAAAGAAAAGAAACATTTAACTGGGGTGTCTTGCTTACAGTTTCAGGGGTTCAGTCCATTGTCATCATGACAGGGAGCATGGCGGCATGCAGGCAGATGTGGTGCTAGAGGAATAGCTGAGAGTCCTAAGTCTTGCAGGCAGTAGGAAGTGACACTGTCACCCTGAGGGAAGCCTGAGCAAAAGTAATCTCAGTAACCCTCACAGTGACACACTTCCTCCAACAAGGCCACACCTCCTATTAGTGCCACTCCCTTTGAGGGTCATTTCCTTTCAAACCACCACAACACCCAATTTCTTTTACTAAAAGCAAAAACTATCCACTCACCCACACTGAGCTATGATAGGTTCTTCTACGGACACAGAGGCTAGACATAGGGAGCGCAGAGGTCTGGTGTGGACACTGCTCTCCTGGGGATAAGTCTGAGGCCAGACAGGCATGCAGCAAAATTATGAAGATGTCCCTTAAAGAAGGCATACATGTTACCAATGTTTATGAGAGTGGTGCCTTTAAAAGGACAGAAGGGAAGGCTTAAGGAAGAGGTGGCACTGGAGACAGGGTCAGATGGGTTAGTATATGTCACTTGAAAATTGATTCACAGCCAAGGCAAGAGTAAGAGGTCATCAGTTTATTGTTACAACTTTTTTTGTCATGGAGGGTCATGGGATTCAGACTGGAGAGGAAGGCATGGCGGTCAACGCTTACCAAGGAGTCAGAGGGAAAACAAAGTGAAAAAAGTGATAGTCACACCAATGATAGGCAAGCTCAACTGATGGGATGGAGAAAGAGTGCATGTGTAGAAGACTATGGCCAGAAAAGAACTTGAGTGTCAAGTCTTAGAGACCACTCATTTACAGGAGGTAAATTTCATTACATGGTGTCTTAGTTAATTCTCAGTTGCTGTGACAAAACAACATGACCAAGTCAACTTGCAAATGAAAGTGTTCAATTAGGCTTACAGTTTCAGAGAGTTAGAGTCTATGATGGGGGAACAAAGGCATAGCAGCAGGAACAGCTGGGAGCACACATCTGGATTGGAAAGCAGCAGGAAGAGAGGACAGTGGGAAGCCTCGAAGCCCACCCCATGACACACCTCCTCCAACAAGGCCACGCCTCCCAGTCCTTCCCAAACAGTTCCACCAACTGGGAACCAAATATTCAAACATGAGCTTATGAGAGTCATTCTCATTTAAGTTATCATACATGGTGTCTACACAGAGTTGAACTAAGTCACTGGGGTTTAAATAAAGCAATTATGAGATATGAATCAAGAAAACTATGGCTTTAGATTTCAATAGAGAAAGCACTGGAGCAAGGAACAGGAGACATGCACATGGGGTCTCATCAAGTAGTGGTTCCACCCATTGTTTTCTCAATTCCAGTTTTCATCCATTTCTCAGTTCTGAAGACATCCTTGTCCAATGCCCTCCTCTCAGCTGCCATTTGTTTAACATCAATCTAGTTCTGTCAAGATGATTCCTTTGTTCCAGAGTCTAGCCTCACCCTCTTGGATAATTGCCCTCATT